TTTTAAAGTGTCGCAAAAGAAAGCAATGAATGTTTATACTATTCAATTTTTACCATATGGTTATTAATATTACTAAAATACAATACAATAATTTAAAAAAATTTTTTTAAAAAAGTTGAAAATTGCAAAAATTGGCACATCAGTGTTGACATGATTTCAGCCCTCCTAGCCATCCGAAATAAAAGAAATTAGAAGATTATTAATGTACAATGATGTCGCAATCGAAACTTTTTTTTTAGAAATTGGCGACTGTTTGAAAGTTGAAGAGTTTCTCAAATTTTTTAAATATAGTAGAAATTGTAATTTGGGGATGATGCTAGTTCGGGCTACAGATAGGTCTATAAACAAGACTCTGAACATTTCAAGTGAATCGGTCGAGTAGAACTCGAGAAATCGTGTTAACAGTACTGAAAAAGTCTGTTTTGAGAAAAACGCATATGAAGTTTTGCGTGAATTTTTTTGCTGTCAAAGTCATAAAATGATATGTTATACTTCTTTTATTTAATCGTGCATTGGACCTTCTTCTACTTCAAAAAAATTATTTTCTGCATTGGAGCAGTTCTAGCCTCCTTTGAAGCGTTGGATGTACGTATTTGAGATCGTTCAATCCGGGCGTTGTCTTGTCTTACAGCAAATGAATGAGTTTCTGGCCCAATTTGCATTACCATAAGAATCATCATTTTTAAAATCGGAAAGAAACCTTCATTGAATATGCAAACAGCAATAAATGTTGCTTTTCAAATACCCGAGATAGGGAATGAATATGTTTCGGCGCAAAAATCCAAATCAACGAGTTTAGAGATTCATTATTGTTCTGAGTTTCTGGACCTATATATCGAATTAATTCATCTGACGATAAAATGTCTTAAATAGGTCTAATGACTTCCTAATGCTTTTTGTCCGATTAGACCCTGCCAAGCCAGTTTGGAGACCGAGTCAGTAAAATGCCTATATCTCCGAAAATAATTCAAATTTTCGAAAACCTTCTCGTGCCCATATTTTTAGATAGTTAAACTTTGGAAATATGACATAAAAAAATTGGATCTTTTTGAATTTCTACACTAAAATACCCCCTTAAAGTTTGTAAATACATTTAGAATTTTAAAAGCTCTATAATATATAGAAACGTTTTATTTTTAACTTCCCCTAGGGCAAGTTATAATAATCATCTAAATACCAAAAATGATTTTTTTTGTATATTTTTTCGTTTCAAAGGTTTGTGAACATTTTGGCATACTTCAGAAAAAATTAATATGTGTGTACTAAAGCGGGTCGATTTGCATGGTTCAAAAAAATTCTTTTAGACACATATAATTTTCGGAATCTAAGGATCAAAATAGGATGCTGAAAAAACCATACCTCTAAAATGAATTCTAATGTCCCGCGCCTTGACTCAAAAGTAAGGGTTAAAATTTGAAAACTTCCATTTTGACTCATTCAGAGTGCCCCTTAAATAGACCAGTAAAGTAAAACGCAAACTCAAAATTAGCAACTACCTAACAACCCTAATTATCAATACTTTAGACTCATCGATCGCATAATAATGTTACAACTTGCAACATTATTACAGAGTCATTTTATTTCTGATGTGGGGAGGAACTTCTTGTGTGTTCGGGTCTAAAACAAACTGCGTGGTCTCATGCTAAGGCCGGGCCGATATCTGCTGATCGGGATCTCTGATATCAAACATGAAAAGAAGCTGATAAAACGCATTACTGAAATAAAGGAAAATATAACGACGCATTTTCCTAAATGGCCGATTGGTGTAAACGGAGAGAACGGTTTGCTTTTACGAGTACAGGTAAAGTAAGCAATAAGGCGATTCAAGGTAAGTAGTAATAAATGCAAATTTTATTTGGGTCCTTAGTGAGTTTCGGAAATGTAATTAATGTATTGAAGGATGATAAACTAAACTTATGGTGGAATTAGAATTTCAAACCATACCAGACGATTTCGTTGAAACTTTGATTGGTGATGGAGTAGATGCGTGGTCTAATCTAAGCCAACATTCTAAATATTATAGATCTATGAAAAGTGATTTAAATAAAAAATTTAACCAGTTGGTATAGGTATTTTGCCTTGAGGCAAGTTACATTAACTTCATGATATGTGTAAATAATCGACTTAATCAATAAAAAATAAATTGATGTATAAGTGATTAAAAGTATTCCGAGGGGATTTATTACACATATTTGAAAACGAACAAACACGTTAACTCGGAGTATTTTCTAAAAGCAAATTTTCACAAATCTCTGTTTCCGTAGAACTTTAATGGTTAAGTATGTTCATTAAGACCAAGTACTCTATCGTTATACCAAGTAAATCGTCTAATTTTAATTTTAACAAACGCCATAAAAACTACTCATTTTCTCAAACTTTGATGAATTTTTAAAATTAAACTATTTCTTGTAAGGCCGTAATATTTCAGTAAGTTCTATAAGACCATGATATATATCGCCAAAAAAAAGTTCCATAAAAATCGACTAAATTATTTTTTCAACAGTTATTTACAAGACAACGTCTCGGTAAATTTTCACCTAAAACTAATCAGTATGATTCTCAACTAATATCTTTCGAACAGTTTCTGATTTTTTAAAATCGATTCGCTAGTATGAGCTTAAACGTGGACAAAAAGTTTAACTTTTTTCCAAATTACAAAAAAACGGCTCGGCCGATCGCTGCACAAAACTGAGAAAAGATAATCCACATCAAAATACATCGATTGGCTTTTAACTTTTTGAAATCGATTCAGGCGTGTTTGAGCAATCGTCGATAAAAGGTCTAATTTTGACAAATGCCAAAAAAACGATACTAATTTTTGCAAACTTTGAAGAATTTTTAAAGCTAAACGAGTTGTCGTAGGGCTGTAATATTTTAGTGTGATCTAGAAGACTATGGTATCTACCAACAAAAAAAATATAATGAAAATAGACAAAAAAATTTTTTTTAACACTTATTACAAGAAAACGGCCTGGCCGATCTCTACCAAAAACTAATCAGCACAATTTCCAATGGTTTTTGAATTTTCAAAATCGATTCAGAATTGCGAGCTAAAACGTGGACGAAACTTTTTTTACTTTTCTGCTATTTACAAAGAAATGGCTTGGCTGATCGTCGCGCAAAACTGACAAACGATAGTCCTCATCGAGATACATCGAATGGCTTTTAAATGTTTGAAATCTGCCCAGCCATTTTTGAGAAAACGTCGATTTACGGCGAAAATCTATTCACACACACGCAAACACACACATACTTTTTTCAAATTTGGTCTCATTCGATCAAACATAAAATTAGCGAATCGGATTTTTTTTATAAAAACATAAACTTCTCCTTCGGAAAGTTAATTAAAGTTTATTAATGTAACTTTAGTACTGAAATATGATAAAACTAAATTAATAGTAAAAAGCTCAAATATATCCTGATATATATTCAAGTCACTTTCAACATTCACTATTTACTATCTCAATTTAATTTCTTATTTCCAGCGCTTCTGTCGGAGTAGATCATATCATGTTCGAATTAATATCAGGATTAAGAAATATCCATCTTACATAAAGAAATTTATTAAAGGATAACGAGTTTCTTCGGCAAAAAAACGTATCCTCCATTACGTAATTGATGCTGAACTGCAGAATATTAATATTTATGTCTGTTTAATGCTATCGTGTCTGGGCTATATAAATCTGTATTAACATGGGAAGGTAGATGTGTATATACTATTGCGAATAGTTGTAATATAATATATAGATGAAGAGCTGAAAGATACATAGAAAATTTTGTGAAATTCCCAATTTATTTCTATAGTATTGGTATCTAATTGTAGTTGCCTTCTGTTCTAAAATCCTAAGAATTATGATTGCCATTATGTGGAATGATATGTTAAATTTTCCCAGTAAAGATAGAAAAGAAAAATACTAAATTCCATAACCAATAGGATGAATTCTTGCTTGATCTCCACAGGAATATCGTCCTAATTGAACCATAAATTCCGTGATTGTTTCTATCCAATCAAGTTAATTAACTATTCACTAATCAATGATCCCAGCTGAATATTAATTTTGCATGATCAACCGTATCACAATAGATTATCTTGCATACCAATTTATTAATTTAACGGAGCATAAGTAATATTGCTTGAAACTATAATTATTAGAGTAGAGATTGAGGTTGTGAAATGGATGATACGAGTAACATATTTCGATAAATTATCTTAATTCATATAATTTTAATCCATAATCAAATTGTTATTTTTCAATATAATTTAGGATTAAAAGAAAATATAACGTGATTTTTGGAAATTGTGAAAGTTGCACAAATATACTTAAATTGATAATGGAAATTTAGTTACTTGCGAATTGGTTGTAGATGTGTAAGTAATTTTTTTTTATATTAATTTATTACCAGAATACACTTTTGGAATCAGAAAAAAATATAATGCAAGTAAAAGTAGATATGTAATAGCACAGCTCAGATTTTTGATCATTTAGAACAATTTTAGTCCATTATTGATGAAAAAATAAAAAAATATTGTTATGATTCTCTTATGGTTATATATGGGATGGTGCTGTAATTCATACTCCAATCAGTCACAAAAATCTTGTAACAAATGTTTTGGTTTTTATTTGTATCGAGGGAAAATAATGAAGATGATTGGTTCATAACATATCCAAAAATGGACAATATTATATTAATAGCTCAAATATCCAAATATTGCAAAAGTAATGTCTTAAGTTACCATCATCACGTAAAACTAACTTCAATTTCATAAAATCCATTGTTTCATCACTTTTAATAATTGGATTAACTTTTGATTAACTAGTTGCAAAAATTTGTGCGTCAAAATAGAATTTTACCAAGTACTATTTTTGGATTTTATCAGAAAACCTTCAAATTTTATCAGAGTTTACATTTGTCTTGTTATTGCATAAGGATGATTTTTACAATTCAACAAAAAATAAATTACAAATATGTTTTAAATATTTCCTAAAAAGTAATCTTACCTTGCTAACTGCTGAAGACTCTCGATTCGCCAACTTCCTAGTCAGAGCCGCCGGCATTGGTGGAGGAGCCCTTTGAAGGGCCCCACAAAATCCGCCCTTGTCGCTCTGGTTTTCCCTTCGCCGCGCAGATCCCGGAAAACGTTGAGCAGCCCTGGAAAAGAGGAAAATTATATAAAAATTTATTCAAAAATCTGTAAAGTAGTATATATAACTATCTGCTGTGTCATTTTGCCATATAGTCCAGTCATTAGAGTAAGTTCACCTCGGAATTCGAAATACCCAGCTGTAAGTCTGTGAATACATGTATATTGACACCCTAAAGTTGTCTTAAAACCTACGTATTGTATTGACAAATTACCACATGTAAATTTTGAAAAAACTTTAAGGTGTCAATATACAAGTATTCACAGACTTAAGATATCTTGAATTCCTAGATTCTTACCTAATTAAAGCTTAAATGACTGGACTAATAAGGCAAGTTGAATAACTTGACCAGGGAATGCAATACCGGTATACCGCTATACCGAATTACCGGTAAACCGCCCGATTTTTCGGCGGTATTTTTACCGGTATTTACCCCAAACATACCGGTATTTTCGGTATTTTTACATAAGCACTATTTGATACATAATACACCAAAGTTTAAATTTCTCGGAACAAATTTATCTTTAGATTCCATAATCTCATATACAGCTATATCTTCAAGTGATTCTATAGGATAAACAAATGTCAAATATTATCTCAACTCGTCATTAAACTGAATATTTATTGCTTTACTAAGGGCTTCATATCGTGTTACAATAAATAGAATTGGACTGATAGATAATGATGTTTGTTTCATCTTATGTAAAATTGTAACGGTTTTAGTGATATTTGCGCCAAAATATTTTATATCATTCAGATTACCTCTGCGTAATCTTTATTTCTATTACTAAATATTTTTGCTTCTTATTACAATTATCAAATATTATTTTTCGAAAACGTTTCGAAGTTTGAAAATACTATAGAAGCATCACATTGTTTTAAATAACAATACTCAACAATTATAGTAACTTATTATTAATCTCGACAGAATATCAAATCTTAAATTAGTGTAGAATTTTTTTTTTAAATATTAGAGCTAATGCTAATTTAACACATCGAATACAGACAATGCAGTTTATTATAATAATGTAATATGATCTTTGGTCTTTCTTACTCATAAGTTTGTTTTTGGTGAAAAGTACTCAATATACTCGATAATGATAATGAATTAATTAAATTGGATATAATTTTGTTAAATTATTATTGAAAAAAATAAACTTATTGTTTTATTTTATTGTTTTTATTGTTAATTTGAATATAGTTGTGGTTGTATATACATTTTTTTATATTTGTACTAGTAACTTTCAATTTTGTTCACGATTGTTTAAGATAATAAAAATACCGGTAATTTACCGGTATTCCGGTTTTAAAATGAAAAATTACCGAAATACCGGTATTGCAATTTTTCATCAGTATTGCATTCTATACTTGACTATATAACAAACCATTTTTGAATTTTCAACATTCATTTTCAGCGCAAAACAAATCAATGCTAGTCTTTATCAAATGACTTCCAAATGTTTGAAATCGATCCAGCCGTTTTTGACAAATTATAGAAAAAAATCATTTCTCCAAATTCGGTCTAAGAATGATTCGATTCGTTGAGAAAAGCAAAATTAGCAAACCGGATTTTTTGGTAAAAAGAAACTAGTCCTTCGAGTAGTTAAAAACCAAGGACTTTCAATCAATATTTTTAGAGTGACAATTATCCATTTCCAATGTATATCGATATGTGTCTCCATGGCCGGACACGATATTCCAATCAGCATTAAGCGTAATTAGCACTATTTGGGAGCATGCAGGAGTCCTCAGGGCATATCTAGATCCACAAGCACTGAGCTTGGTCTGTTTCACATAACACGAAAACTTAGTTTAATGGATTCAATATACCAAACGTAACAACTTTGATTGACCCTCTGGACGTGGATAGTTTCGATAGATAGATACATAGCACTATGGAATTATCAAAGGTTTGCGAAATCTGCACATGCATATTGTAAATTGATAAAGGAATTACAGGTATACTGGTAGATAATAATGACAATAAATTTAGAAATCTGGGAAGTCATTGTAGCTGAACAGGTGATAAGTAATATAGCTAAAATAGTAGGTAAAATTAAAAATAATAAGAAAAACAGAATGATACAAAGCAACAATATTGCTTAATAATCTTATAATCTTCTCAATTCTTCTAAATATAATTATATTCCTTTTATTTCATAATTATGATTATAACTATAGTAATATAATAAGACGCATTTCTTCAGAAATATTCAATATGGAGCGATCAGATATCAGCACAATGAATAATTGGTTTGGCAATTAAAATATTTCCTAATTCAGCCCAAAATTACAAAAAAATGTTCTGGAGGTATTTATAAAACATTCAAAATCTATAATGACAAACTATATACATTTCACATGATAATTTATCAATGCTAATATGTTCTGAACTGAATCTATTTCAAATATCAGAGTAGTGAATTGTCCTTTTATTTTCAGAATTATCTAGAGGAAATTTAATTATCATTTAATATTAATAAGTTTTATTCCAAAGCAAAACTGCTTTCCGAAGTATAATGCAAATTCATACAAAAGCTATGCAGCTAATTAAATTTAGTATTCAATCAATGTCACACAATCATATTTTGCAAATAGGCTAAACAGAATTTAACCTGACATTCGAGCATGAAATTGGTAACGATCATATAAACAGCGACTTAGTCGAAAATTCAGTAATAAAATCAAAATTTATATAGTTTTAAAATATTCTATATTCTCATTTTTAACAGCAATCAGAAAGAATCTGATGAGTTTTGTTTCATTTCTATTGAAGGCAGTATTTAGAAGACAGCCCAACGACTGACCTATCGATATTTTATAGCTTATTTTGTTTAAAAAATTAATGATTAGATATTATTTAATTAAATAAAATAATTACATAAACATTTATTGATAGTAATATCGTATATTTAAAATATTATTGAGCCAATAATCAGATTCACTTCATACCTGTACATTCATTTCAGAAAATAATAATGTTTGTTTCATAAATTTGGGATTGAATGGAACCACTAAATCCGAAGCGAAGTTCCAATTGAGATAAGTTTTGAAATAAAAAAATGAGAAAAAATGATAGTTTTATCAATATAAAATTTGTTGCAAGAATAGGTTATAACAAAAATATGCTTTTATTGTTAGATTTAACAGTGCAACTAAAAATTAAAAATATTAGAGCTAAAGCGGATTTCCATCTAGTGATTTTCTAGATTCCGGGTTTTTATAAAATCAATTTTCGGCCTGGATTGTGCCGCGTTCTCAAAAATAATAAGTTTAAATCGAATCTTTGCAATGCTTGATACTAAAATTACAACTACCCATCAAATATCTGGAAACGATATATTTCACATCACTCAATAAAAATCCGTAGTATAAGTAAGAAAAACCAATTTTTTGGCAAATTTCTTTTTTTTATGCATTATAGTTTCTTCAAAAAAGATATAACGATTATAGCAAACTTCAAATTTTTCGAAACCATTTTTTTAGTACGATTTGTACTTTGCCACAAAATTTAACTATCATCTCATCATTTGGTAAATGTTTCTTCACAGCAAGCATCCTTCGTTTGCAAAAATGCATAATTCGATTTTGGTGAAACTTGACATACATTGTTACTACACTTTACTAAATATTTGACAAAAATTTAAAATTGAAACATTCAATAGTTTTTCTGATATGCGAGGTTGATGGGTGGCTGGCTCCGCGCTCAATACTAACATTTAAAGTTTAAATCATTTCTAAATATGCCGTGAACCCCCATTTTAATTTCGTGGACCCCCAAATTTTGTTTTCCTGCCGTAGACTCCTTGAAAGTTGCCATGAACCCCTGGGGATCCATGTGGACCACTTTGGGAATTACTGCTCTAAACCTTATGATAAAAATAAATTCAATTCAAACCATTTTAAATTTGTTTTCACTGGTATTTAAAAAGGAGTAAGCGAATATTCTTCCAGCTCGCAACCACGTTCCTGATTCCCAGGTACATAAATTCATCAACAATGTCCCGTATGCTGTTGAAAGTAACTCTCGAAATTTTACATCCGCCGCAGCTGTTGATATTTTCCGCTTTTCCGCGTTTCCGCGGCCCTTTATTTGCCGTCCGCCCCGAGTGGGACGCTTTAGCGTATAAACAGCAATAAATCGCACAGCGGCGGTATGTGGAATAAACGCGGCAAACACCTGCATTAATTAATTGCCGCAATTCGTTACCGACTCGTTGCACTAATAAAGTTCACACATAATTCATCACATCATTTTCATGGCGCATGGCGAAGAGGCGGCAGAACGGTTTTGCTGCTTTTTGCTGTTTGGAAAGTAAACGTCGTGAGAGCTGCACCCTAGGGTAAGGAGACTACATACTTTCTGCTACTCAAATTGTTTTAAAACATGAATTACTTATTCATCAACTATTTTGAATAGATCAATATTTCATTTTTACTTGTTTTTTAAGATTTATTCCCTTTTGATTTTATTATTTCTATTTATCATTTAAGTTTCAAGAAACACAAGAAATTAATATTTCTTGTGTAAAAAACAACTTTTGTATGCAAAAAAATGGAAGAGGTATTTTAGAGATATTGGAGTTATTATTATATATTAATTCTTAGTCGAAACAATGCTAGAAAAGCACAATTCTTAGCACCAAAAATTTATCAACTATGTTATTTTTTGCTAAAACATACAAATCGAAAAATCATCAGTATACATATAAACTCGCATTATATATATATATATATATATATATATATATATATATAATATCTGATAATTCGGATAAGAAAAATATCGCCGTATTATTTCTTCGTGTTAATCCAATGCCGGTTTCCCACAAAACAGAAAATCATTAAAAATGTGGTCTGCGTCGCATTCAATAAACTCATATATGAAAGAAAAACCCCTCAGCAGCGAAAATAATAAATAGGGGATGAAGAAAAATGTTCGTGCGTGCTTTGGTTTCCTTAGTACCTAACCTACC